CTGGTGGAATGGTCTGTTGTATCTTGAGCCAACGGTCTTCTGGTACCATAATACGGTTGCGATTTGTGATGAATCGAATACCTAGGAACTGTAGGTCTTGCGATGGTACTAGGTCCGACTTGCGTAAGTTTATTAACCAACCTAGTTGTGTTAGTAGCTTTATGATGTAATTTAACTGTAGTTTGAGACGCAGTGGATCTTGATCTACTTGTATCCCGTCGTCGAGGTAAAAGCGCTCTCGTGTAGCCCTTGACGATGTAGAAATTTGATAATCGGTTTCGTTATCCTCGTGAATAGCCAGGGGCTGATGATATTCGAATGGGAGTACTTTCCACTGGTAATGTAGCCCTTCTAGAGTAAATCGTAGGTATTTCCTGGAATCGGGATGAATGGGGATGTGCAAGTAGGCATCCTGTAGATCTATGCTGCCCATGTAGTCCATAGGACGAATCATCTGGCGTAACTGAGGTAAATGTATCATCGCGAAACCCGGTGGTTTTCGTGAGATAGTTCTTGTTGAAAAAGCTCATGTTGTAGATGAGTCTGTATTTCTCCGTGGAGTTTTCTTGGGAACTAGGAAAACTGGGGAGTAGAAACCTGGTTCGACGTTTGCTTGATCTATTACTTCTATGGCCTGTTTGGATAGGAGTGATGAGACAGCCTCTTTATCTTTGGTAGTTGTTGCTTGTAAATCGAACTTGGGGGTTTGATTGTCAGCGGAGGCTTGTCCTGTAGAGGATACGAAATCCGTGTTGAATAATGTTGGAGACGTAAGGATCTTGCAGTATTCCCCAGTTTTCCCAGTGTAGTTGGAGGCGTCCACCCACTTGAGCTGGTTGTACTGGAACGGCTGGGGGTGGAAGACTCCAGTCGTTCCGAACCTGTGTTTCAGCGTCTATAATTGCGGGAACCTCTGGGTGTCCTGCCTCTTCCTGATCCTCCTCTATAGTTGCCATATGGGCTTAATTTAAAAGAATCTTTACCTCTAGAGCTGGCTATCTTCCTGTCTCTTGCTCTTTGTAGGCCCGTGAACTTAGATCTGCCTGAGTATCTTTGTGAAGTCTGACGAATGACGCTGGCTAGTGTGTCCATCGATCTAATCATAAGGACTTCCCTGGAATCCTTAGAGACTTCCTTGGCGACCTTGTCGATTTCTCCGTCAAAGATGGATGTTGTCGACCACGGGGCTGTATAAAGTGGGGCTGTAAAGTTCTCCCCCCAATTACAGGAGGCGAGGAGGCCTTGACGACGAGCTAAGGTCAGTGCTGCTGAAACAGATGTAAGATGATCCGTTAAAAACTGCTGATCTTTCTTTTGCATAAGTAAGGCAGAATAAATCATTCTATCATCTTCCGTCGTGGAATCCCGGAATCTAGTAATAAGAGTCTCATTGATCGTCCTAGATCTATTTAACCCAAAGAACATACGTCTCGTCATGGTTTCTATATGAGCCAACTTGCGATCATCCATCTTGTAAATCTTGTTCTTTACATCGCTGATGATCTTATAGTTCTCATCGATGTCCTGGGCCTTGTAGAAGGAGTCCATGTTATGCGTGGAGAACTTCTTGGCTTGAAAGTTGGGTAGATGTGGTATCTGAACTTTCGTAGCTTTCTGGAAAGCTGCATCTAGATTCTGTGGCACTGCCGCAATCGGGTCGATCGGGGGTAGAGTGATTGCATCTGGATCATCTTCCTTCATCAAATACGTCTGAGCTGTATTGCCACTTTTAGATGGTGATGTGAGATCTAGGTTATTGACCATCCAATACCGTATCTCTGCATCAGAAAATATGATTCCTCCATCATCCTCAAAACCATCATCATTAATAAATTGTAGATGCTCTTCGGGACTGCGTGTAGCTGTCTGAATATCTGATGAGGTTTGTGGCGATCTAGTTGACTTGTGCGCCGCTCTATGTGGAGATCTGATGGGTGATCGACCTGGTGATGAACCGAGTGGAGATCGTCTGGTAGGAATATCTGGACTCTCTGCCATGTTTTGCCCTTGTTTGCGTGATCTATCTGCAGCACGTCTTAAGACGCAAAGATGATATTTATTAAATGCAGAATGAGATAAATTAATGCAGTAACTGCAACGTGAATTAAACGCACACGGCGTAGAACAACTAGGGCATATTACATGTGGATCGGAGGCAGAAAAACGTAATCTACAAATCGTACAGATTTTCATGAACGTAAAGCTAGCTGAACAATCACGAATACACGTGAATAAACAGTAGAAATACGATAATTAATCAATACAAATAGTAAAGGATACTAGCTATACCTCTATAGTAACCTATGAGAGGTAAAAACTAAGAGATTATCAAAGGATATGTGTGTAAGGAGACACAAGGCGCTCTCACATCCTGCTCACTGGGCGAAGAAGGAGAGAGTGAAGCACATGGCCAGAGGGTGGCGACACCTTTTCCCGCCAGGGGAGACAAAGGGGAGCAACTCGTGGTGAGTACCAATTAGTGATTTTATTTTGAAGGGAGCTTCAAATAAGGAGATACAAGTGTTCCACTATGTTCGCAAGAAGAAGAAGACAAGCAAAAGAGCATGAGTCAGGATAAGGAAAAATTGAATCTTTGAAATCTGTGTTTGCTAGTTTTGACTCTTCTACTGGAGTAGGGCCTATAGTAGAAAAGCTCCCATATGGCTTACAGGAGAAATTGAGAACACATGCTTCTAAACACAAGGACAGATATCAGGTTCCATTTCCTCCTTTTGGTTACTTCGTACAATTTGTGCGGGACATGAGTTGTATCAGGAATGACCCCAGTTTCATGTATGAATCACAGAATAAAACCCCGGAGAAGATCGACAAATCTCCAACTATGCATCCCAAGACAAGAGTCTTCGCAAAGAAAACCGAAGTAGATAGAACTGGTAGGTATGAACAGTCTTCTAATGTGCAGTTGTGTCCCCTACATAAAGGTGGACATACACTAAACCAGTGCAATGGGTTCCGTTCCAAGTCATATGAGGAACGGAAGGAGTTTTTGAGGAAGAATGGATATTGCTATAAGTGTTGTACAACAAATAAGCACTTGGCTAAGTGCTGTGAGGAAACTGTGAAGTGTGATATATGTGGGTACAGACACCCAACGTTTTTACATATGGACAAATCGGGACCTACTGAACCAGTGGCGAGTAAGTGTACTCAAATATGTGGACAGGACAAATCATGGAAAGGTAAATCATGTGCTAAAATGGTGCTAGTGAAGGTTTATTCAAAGGACAATCCTCGATTGGCGGTGAAGTTATATGCCATTCTGGATGATCAGAGCAACGCATCCTTCGCTCTCTCAGAACTGTTTGACATTTTGGCAATTGGTGGTGACCGTGCGCCACATACCATTTCTTCATGTACTGGAGTAAAAGGGTCAACCGGGAGGAGAGCGAATGGCCTCGTAGTGGAATCCTTTGATACGAGTCACAAACTTGAACTATCCAACCTGATCGAGTGTAATCAGGTGCCAGACCTAAGGGATGAAATCCCTACGCCAGAGGTTGTTAGGAATTATGACCACCTCAAGGATGTTTTCATACCACCAATGGACAATGATGCAAGTATTCTTTTGCTTCTTGGTACAGATGTGATTGCATGAGGCACACCATGTGTCGGATCCGAGAATTGGACCTACAGGATCTCCATGGATCTCCATATGCCCAGAGACTGCCTCTAGGGTGGGCAATAATTGGAGAGACTTGCCTCGGAAAGATTCACAAGCCTGACCTTGTGAAAGTGAATAAGACTTACCTATCCAAAGATGGACGGCCGTCATTGTTTAAGATGCCCAAACTATCTACATGTAGATGAGGCAGATCCTATCTTTGCCTTGTCAAAACATGATGACAAACCAGGCCTGTCCATTAAAGATAGACAGTTTATTGAGATTATGGACAAGGAGATGTTATTTGGACCAGATGGACAATGGGTAGCACCCCTTCCCTTCAAACAGGACAGGCGCACTCTTCCTGACAACAGGTCACAGGCACTGAAGAGGGCGATTGCCTTAGATAAAGGACTGAAACGTGATCACACAAAAAGGAGACACTTTGTGGAATTCATGCAGAAGATTCTGGACTCTAACCATGCAGAGGTTGCCCCTCCCTTAAAGGCAGGGGAAGAACATTGGTACTTACCTATATTTGGGGTTTACCATCCCAAGAAGCCGGACCAGCTGAGGGCTGTCTTTGATTCTTCAGCAGAATTTGATGGCGTATCTTTGAATGACGTTATGCTTCAAGGACCGGACCTCAATAACAGTTTGCTTGGCGTTCTACTGCGTTTCAGGAAAGAAGCAATAGCAGTGATGGCGGACATTCAGAGTATGTTTCACTGCTTCCAGGTGAGAGAGGACCATAGAAATGTCCTTAGATTTCTATGGTACAGAGACAATGACCCTTTGAAGAATCTCGTTGAATGCAGGATGAGAGTACACGTTTTTGGCAACAAGCCTTCACCTGCGGTTGCAACGTATGGGTTGAATCGAGCAGCACAAAGGGGTGAAGCAGTTTTTGGCAGCCACACATGCACTTTCATAGAGGAGATGATGGGCTGACATCATGCGCATCAGTTTCACAAGCAGTTGATCTTTTGAAGAGAACACAGGATACACTTGAGTGCAATGGCAAACTCAGACTCCACAAGGTTGTGTCAAATAGTGCTGCGGTTATGCTATCTTTCCCAGAAGAGGATCTAGCTGAGGATCTCAAGGACTTGGATCTGAATGTAGATCCCTTCCCTGTACAGAGAAACTTGGGCATGTGGTGGAATTTTGAAACTGACACGTTCACTTTCCGTACATGCATGGACGAAAAACCTTACACAGGTCGTGGCATATTATCGACAATAAACAGTATCTACGATCCTATGGGAGTAGTCGCCCCAGTGGTTGTGCAAGGAAAGATTATCCTTCGTGATCTGATGTTGGACAAAGTTGATTGGGACGAGCCATTGGAGGAAGATAAACGGCATGACTGGGAACTCCCTTACACAAGGATAGTAAGTTACTGCCTCTCAATCCAGTCATTGATGAAAATGGCATGTTATGTGTGGGAGGTAGACTCAAGAATGCACCAATTAACACTAATCAGAGGACTCCACTTATCATACCCAGAAAGCACCACATCGCAGTTCTCTTGGTAAGGTGTCACCATGAATGTGTGAAACATCAGGGACGTTTATTCACAGAAGGGGCCGTGAGAGCAGCGGGATATTGGATTATCGGCGGAAAGAGACTGGTGTCTGCCATCATTCACAGATGTGTGAAATGTAGGAAATTACGAGGAAAGTTTGAAACATAGAAAATGGCAGACCTTCCCATTGATCGGTTAATTCCATCACCTCCATTCATCTTTGTCGGAGTTGACATGTTTGGACCATGGACTGTGACTTCAAGGAAAACTAGAGGTGGAATAGCTCACAGTAGGAGGTGTGGATTGCTTTTCACATGTTTGGTTTGTAGAGCCATTCATATTAAGGTGATCGGAAGAGATGAGCTCTTCATCATTCATTAACGCCTTGCATCGTTTTATTTCCATTCGTGGAAATGTGCAGGAATTCCGTTCAGACCGCAGAACAAACTTTGTTGGATCTTCAGAAAGTCTTGAAATTTATGCAATAAATGTGGAGGATGTGAAAATTGAAATGTTCTTATCGAACAATCGAACCAAATGGATCTTTAACCCTCCTCATGTGTCGCACATGGGTAGCGTTTGGGAGAGAATGATAGGGATTGTGCAGAGACTTCTGGACAGTATGTTGTCTGATGTGTCAACCAGGAAGTTCACACATGAAGTTCTGACCACTCTTCTAGCAGAGGTTGTACAATTGTGAACGGCAGGCCGATGGTACCCGTGTCGACGGATCCAGATGAACCATTCATTCTTTCTCCCTCTACTTTGATAACACAGAAATCCAACCATGTGTTGGAGTGGGACAGAGTAAACACTAATATTAAGGACTTGTACAAGTACAAGACTTGGCGGACACATTCTGGCGTCGCTGGAGACAGGAATACCTACATACACTAACTGTCAGGACAACATGGCAGGTGGATCAACCGAACATGGTGATTTTGTTATGATGAAGGACAAGGATGTTCACAGGAACAACTGGTCTTTAGGCGTTGTTGTAGTTGCTCTCAAGTGCAGAGATGGAAAGGTCAGAAAATGTATTCTCAAGGTTATTCGTGATGGAAAGACTGTTCACTACACATGTCCAGTGACCGAGTTGGTTCTGCTGCTAGCAGCGGAAAGTTCTAAGGACTAGCTGAATCTTGGAATCTTGAACAGACAATCTCATATTGCATTGTGAACTCTTACCCATAGACTAATGCTCAGACTTTCTTCTTTTATATTTGTATTTGGACTTAATTGATGTTTGTAAGGTTTGATCCTAGAATTGGATTCTGGTTAAGACTTGCGTCTAGAGTTTGTAGTATCTTTGCAAGATATTCCGGGGGAGTGTTCTGTATTATGTGCAAAACAGCACTTTATTTCTTGAGCAATCTATAGACTAAACTAAGTCTAGCTGGTGCTTTATTTCTTGCACGATCTATATAAAGGACCAGTCTAGCACTATTATCCAGTTTTGACCAGTTTTCAGGTTTTAGGAGGCATGGCCGAATGGCATTTACAGTCTTTGAAAACTTCAATTTTTAGGAAAAAAAGGACATACACAGCAACGAGCAATGTGTGTTAAGTTTATATTATGTATTTTCATGTAAATCTAGGTGCTTAAGTATCAGTTTAGGCATGTTAAGCAATTGTAATCTTCGAAGTAGCGCTGTTCAGCTTTCGATCAGGCACACTTCATGTACAGGATTTTACGGCCTATATTGCCTTAGACTCCTATCACAGCATGTGTATTTTAAGGCCTTTATGATTAGGTATTGCAGAAACACAGTGAGCATTTAGGTGTAAATTTGCCAAGCTTTCATGTTCATGTCGCTCAAGTGAAGCGCTCATAAAATATACAGTTTACATGTAGAATAAGCCATACAGAGTTGCTTCCCTTCAACTGTTTATCAATATGAAATTTGTGCAGCTTGTGTAGCCTATTTTAGTGTCTATTTCATTGTCAATATTTGGGAAATGTGTTATTTTCGTTCATTGTATAATCTTTATGATTATGGCAGAATATTCAGGAAAATTCTTGCTTTAAGTATTGTGTGGACTTTAACTCATTAAACCCGAGAGCCACTTCACTACTCAACACCTGGAACACTTCGCTGATTGCCCGACTCGCTGTGCCGAGACTAACAGTTGTGAATACATATCATGTATTGCAACGTTATATGTAATTTTATTGCAAGTTTCTCTTGTAGACTTTTGGTGGCTTGTACATTTATATTTTATCAACATATGCATGTATTCTTTGTATCTAAGAGATGAGCCATACATAACAAATACTCTCTATCATATCATTGTGTGAGGTTCAGTTTTACAAAACATCGATGACAATGACATACTGTAAAGAAGAATTTACTTACAAACTTTATAATCTTCTACGAAATTAGCGTTTTTGCTGATACATTTCTAGTGTATACAGATTATTTTAATGAAAGTACTATTACGCTAGTCTGTGACTAACAGAGAGCACATTCATAGCTTGGTACTTTGTTTATTTTACACTTGTCACGGGACAAACCTTTCAACAAGGACGTAACTACATATGCATTCTACTGGAGGCTGTTATTTCAAGGTCAATTATCTTATTACTGTAATCTGATTGAATGATTATACGCATGTGTATTGATACCGTAACTGATATACTATCCAGCTTTTATTGACAATGAATCAATAGAGACTGAGTTCATTGATACAAGTGATAATAACACCGGATTTGATAATTACAGAGATCAAATACAAATGTTTTGCACAATGCTCATGTAAATTGCATAGAAAACTGACAATTCAAATCAACATGAAACTTTTAACAGCTTGAACAAAAATGCTTTGTATCTTTGTATGGTTTACATGTAATAACTTATGATATTACTTCTGTCTATGTCTAAGAATTTTTTGAATTACTAACTTACTGTGTTTCGTAACGACCATAGTAAAAGATTTCATTGTTGTAATAACACTGACATGTATATATATTCCGATGCAAAGGCGCGACTTATCACTTTATATTCGATTAGGTAACATTATCAACTTTAGATTATGGCAAATAACTAGTTACAATTCAGTAAGTTTTAAATTAGTAAGTTAATTTATGTCTAATCTATTTGAGCTAGGATGTATAATTATTTGTGTTTATACATTATATAAAGAGGATATTATATGAGTGCCCATGTCATACTATGTTTACGACATGAGTGCCTAAATGTTGGTATTTCCCGAGCGAGAGCATTGGCATCGCCGCATGTAGAACGCAACGTCACAGAAGAAACATGACGTCATAGAATTGTTCATGACATCACGTCACCATGACAAAGTGATATTTTGCCCTAAGGCATCGTATGAGAAATATGAACCCTGATATGTTCGCCTTCGTAGGTAATAATTCATTATATGAAACATGACAACGTAATAATGCCTAAAAAGTAAATTCAAACTATTCTATTGAATTCTTTGTATGTCCTTGAAATTTGGTATATTGTTTCCTATTTATTAGGAAGTTGAAGAAATATAATCTTCAGTAACCTCTAAAACATTACATCTAATTCAATCAATGTGCATAAGAAGTATTTTAGTATCCATTCCCAATAAAGAGTACCAGACACTTACCTCTGTAAAAACATCATAATCCCCTTTCTCGCCGACATGCGTTCATTTGCCAAACGCTGTATAAGCCTATGATAATGATTAGCAATTACTATCAAAACACTTTAAATACTTCTTCTGATTGACACCAAAGGTAGCATCTCTTGTAAGAAAAGGTAATATTTGCTCAGTACTACTAAATTGGTTGAAATAATAGGTATATTGCGATTAAAGAAAGTAATGACACACATGTGCATGACTCACTGAATAAGAGGTGCTTTCTATTGACGAATAAATGCGGCTCTCGCGGTGAGAAACTGCCAATTACCTGCCCCATAAACGCATAAGTTTGTTATTGTAATCTACGAAATAGCGCTGTTCAGCTTTCGATCAGGCACAATTCATGGACAGGATTTTACGGCATGTGTATTTTAAGTCCTTTATGATTAAGGTATTGTAGAAACACAGTTAGCACTCTTAAATGTGTAAGTCATTTAGGTGTAAATTGGCCAGCTTTCATGTTCAAGTCGCTCAAGTGAAGCACTCATAAAATATACAGTTTACATGCAGTAGCCATATTTTAAGCTATACAGAGCTGCTTCCCTTCAACTGTTAATCTATATGAAATTTGTGTAGCCTATTTTAGTGTGTATTTCTTTGTCAATATTTGGTAAATTGTGTAATTTTCGGACATTGTATTAATCTTTATGATTATGGCAGAATATTCAGAAAATACTTGCTTTAAGTACTGTGTGGACTTTAAGTAATATTTCAGGACATATACATTATTGCCAATGTATTTTGTAGTTGCACATTCAGTTTAGGTTATCATTGTGACAGTTTGGGATATCATATTTAGGCATACCTAAACTATATGACTAAGTGCTATGGAATGTGGAACTTACCATATTCAGGTCTGTTTAGACTAAATTTGGGCTTTTGTATTTTTCTGTTTTTGACCCTCCTACCTACCTTCTGTACTACCATCCAAACCTCCAACTTGTACATCTTATGATTAAAGTGTTCGCTATCCACAATAGGTTTGGTCAGTATTGTCACCATGTTATCTGCATGTTATTGATTCCAACACATGTTTCAGGTCCATATTCTTACTCAGAATTGAGATCCATAAGTCAAGACACAAGGAAAAAGGCCAGAAGATAAAACAACGTCCGAGCGAAAGGTACAGGTACATATCCAAGGACAACAGAGGTCAAGGCACAGACACAAGTGTAAAGATAACAGCAAGATTGAGACACAAAGTAACTCAAGTTCAAAGTAAGTTGTGAAGAAGGGTTAGTAAGTTGTTGTGAAGAAGATGGGGTAGTCTAATGGTTAAAGTGTTAGCTCGTCATGCTGAAGATGGTTAGTAGGTTGTTGTGAAGAAGGGGCGATGGGGTAGTCTAATGGTTAAAGTGTTAGCTCG